GATTTGTTCATTTTGTGATGATATCTTCAATTCTCTAATTTTGGTGAATATTTTTGTCATTTTGGTAAAAAGTGATATTTTCGACTTCTTGTTGAAAACTGTAAGTCTGATTGCTTTGATATTACATATATAGGTACTACATGTGGACCTCTCTCAGATTTGTTCGTTTTGTGATGATGTCTTCAATTCTCTAATTAATTTATTTTGGTGAATATTTTTGTAATTTTTGGTAAAAAGTGATATTTTCGACTTCTTGTTAAAAACTGTAAGTCCGATTGCTTTGATACTATTCATATTGTTCATTTTCTAATGATGTCTTCAGTTCTTTAATTGAAATGTGCATTGCTAACAGCGGAGCTATCTCAGCCGATAGGCTGCTTGTTTTTTATAATCAAATTATGAATTTAATTTTTAGCTCCGCTGTCGATGAAATCGAGCAGAGCTCATAGTATTACTGATTGTCCATCGGCGTCTTCGCCATCGTCAACTTTACATTTTCGACTTCTTCTTACAAACCACAAACTGTATAGCTGTGAAACTTTCTAGGAAGGTATCTTGAGTGGTTCTTTCTCAGATTTGTTCAATTGTCTTATTTATAGCGAATATTTTTGGCATTTTTGGTAAAAAATGCTATTTTCGACTTCTTGAAAACAGCTAGCCCAATATGCTTTGATACTTGGTATGTACCGGTAGGTACCTTTGGTGGACCTCTCTAAGATTTGTTTATTTCGTGATGATATCTTCATTTCTCTAATTTTGATGAATATTTTTGTCATTTTGGGTAAAAAATTATATTTTCGACTTCTCATTGAAAACTGCTTGTCCAATTGCTTTGATATTGTATATGTAGGTATATCATGTGGACCCTCTGTCAGATTTGTTGATTTTGTGACAATATCTTCAATTCTCTAATTTTGATGAAAAGTGATATTTTCGACTTCTTGTTAAAAACCACAAGTCCGATTACTTTGATATTACATATATAGGTACCACATGTGGACCTCTCTCAAATTTGTTCATTTTGTTATTATATCTTTATTCTCTAATTTTTGTGAATATTTTTGTAATTTTTGTGAAAAAGTGATATTTTAGACTTTTTGTTAAAAACCACAAGTACGATTGCTTTGATATTACATATATAGGTACTACCAGTACATGTGGACCTCTATCAAATTTGTTCATTTTGTGATGATATCTTTAATTAGCTCCGCTGTCGACTTTGTCGAGCGGAGCTTATCATATGAGTGATTGTCCGTCGTCGTCGTCCGCGTCAATGTTTTACTTTTTCGACTTCTTCTTGAAAACTACAAGCCTGAATGCTTTGATACTTGGTGTATATGTACCTTGGGTAGACCTCTCTTAGGTTTGTTCATTTCATGTTGATATCTTCAATTCTCTAATTTTGGTGAATATTTTTGTCATTTTTGGTAAAAAGTGATATTTTCGACTTCTTGTTAAAAACCGCAAGTGCAATTGCTTTGATATTACATATATAGGTACTACATGTGGACCTCTCTCAGATTTGTTCATTTTGTAATGATATCTTCAATTCTCTAATTTTGGTGAATATTTTTGTCATTTTTGGTAAAAAGTGATATTTTCGACTTCTTGTTAAAAACCGCAAGTGCAATTGCTTTGATATTACATATATAGGTACTACATGTGGACCTCTCTCAGAATTGTTCATTTTGTAATGATATCTTTAATTCTCTAATTTTGGTGAATATTTTTATCATTTTTGGTAAAAAGTGATATTTTCGACTTCTTGTTAAAAACCGCAAGTCCAGTTGCTTTGATACTACATATATAGGTACTACATGTGGACCTCTCTCAGATTTGTTCATTTTGTGATGATATCTTCAATTCTCTAATTTTCGTGAATATTTTTGTAATTTTTGGTAAAAAGTGATATTTTCGACTTCTTGTTAAAAACCAATAGTTCAATTGCTTTGATATTACATATTTAGATACTACATGTAGACCTTTCTCAGATTTGTTCATTTCGTGATGATATCTTGGATTCTATAATTTTGGTGAATATTTTTGTCATATTTGGTAAAAAGTGATATTTTCGACTTCTTGTTAAAAACCAAAAGTTCAATTGCTTTGATATTACATTATATAGATACTACATTGTAGACCTTTC